TCAGAGCTTTCCATGAGCATGAGATGATCAGAATTCCGTAATGAGTGGACACAAATCCAGTCAAGAAAAGAACAAGAAAACTTGAGAGTTTAGTTAACCTATAGCCTTATGTGAGTCGGATTTGACTGGACAGCAATGGGTTTGGCTTGGTTTATAGCCTTATTGTGAGTAAATGAAAAGTTAAGGTACTGACCTCTTTACCTCACATTCTCACCATTTCTTCCTTTGTAGAACCCTAAGGGTGCAGGGACTCTTGGCCTACAATACCTGCTCTAGCACAAAGAGTCTCAAAAGATTTTCTTAGATTGTTCTTCTACCCAGTAACCCCAAGGCCCCAGAAGAACAGCTGTGAAGATCGTGAAAACACAAAGATGCTTCCACCAGAATCTAAAATTAACCAAACCTGATTAATCTGGGATGTGTTGCCACAACTGGAACTTTGTCATTGTTGACACTGGGGGAGAGGGGAAGTTGGTGTTGTTTTTTATTGTTATTTTCCTTTTCCTTCTGTAATTGTCACTCATTAAATGACTCTGAGGGCAGTTTGGTGAACATTATTTCCCTCTTCTTTTACCTGGTTTTCTTCTTTTCCTCTCTCCTCTCAGTCTCCTGTAAAATCTGAATTGACTTAAGGGATCTACTCTTCCCTGGCCATCTCCCCCCTTCCCCTCGATCTCATATCAGGACTGAGGTCTCCAGTGGCTTTATGATGAAGTAGGCAGTGGGCTGGACTGAAGCTAAGATTTTGATGCGTCTGGCATGAGGAGTTACGTCCTTGCCTCCACTGATTTCATGGGAATTAGGATCCTCTAGGCCTCCGCCATTTTCAGGCACATACAGAGGCACATCCTCGTCTTGCCTCAGTGCTCTTCTCCTTTCACTTCACCAGATGGTCTCATCCCATGGATGAATCCCATGGATTCAACTACCACGTACATCCTGATGGCTCTCAAATTCATTTCTCCATCCCAGACTTTCCCTTTGTATACCCAGACTTGTATATCCAACTGCTTACTGAACCTGCTCGTTTAAAGGGCACCACAAATTTTAACATATCCGAAAATGAATTTGTTTTTTTTAATCCCCTTCATACATTCCCTCACCATCTTCCAACTATGTGTTCTTCCTCCTGGGTTCCCAATCTGACGAATGGTACAATATTTTCAAAGAATAAACCAAAGACCATTAGAACTTAAACCAAAAAAAAAAAAGAAGAAGAACAAGGAAAGAAAGTTCTCTGAGAAGGAAAAAGTGGGGTTCCTTTAGTGCTAGAAAAAGGGAATTTGTGATGATTGTCCTAGTTAAGGACTGGTTGGGTGGAATGAGTCATCAGGTCTACAAACAGTTGGTCTTCAGTTAGGTCTGTAAGGGTCTGTTGCACCGGGTGCTCGAGTGCACGGTCCTTGTTAGCTTAAGCTGATCAAAACCAGTAGTGATGAAACACACAACAGCAAGTTCTGATATCTTCTAGGCAAGTGTCGGTCTAAGTGAAACATCTCCCTTTTACAACTTCTACTCAGTCACTCGCCGTGAGTCAGAATTGACTTGACGGCAACAGGTTTGGTTTTTGGTTTACTCGGTCACTCCAGTCAAAACCCATCGGGGAGTATCACAGATGTCCCCCTCCTTCCTCTCCTTACAGACCCAATCCCCAAGCCTTAGGTTCTGCCTCCTTCGTGTCTCTCCTGACACCCTTCCCCTCTATCCCAATCCACATCACCCTACATCAGGCCCTGATTGTCTCTTGGCTGGACGAGTAAAACAATCGGCTAACTCCTCGCTATCACGTTGTGGCCCAGGGACCAGCAGCATCAGCATCACCTGGAAGCTTGTTAGAAATGCAGAATCTCAGGCCCTGCCTCATGCCTGAGGAATCAGAGTC